GAAAGTGACATTGCGTTGGCCCGACCAGGCAACACGAAGCCTACATGGGTCACTTGATGTTGTGAATTAAAAGGTCAAACGTGCAGAAGAGGCTTGGTGCTATTTGCAGCTACGACATAGTGGCCCCTCAATTAATAAATAATGCGTTGTTGGACGACGCCACCCCCCTTGTACACCAAAAATTTGTTCCTGTTCTGTGGCCCCACGCAGTAATGGATGCTCCAGACTCATTGGAATCACTGGTAGAAAGTACCTCTATTATTTCCGCCATTGAAATTTTTTTAACTGAAAACTTCGATTATTTTGCTATATGGAACTTGATTCGCCTGTCAGAGCTACTATTAGTTCAGTGTTTAAGGGTGCTGCCAAGGCGAATTAATATAAGGTGGTGTTACTAGCTCAGCTGATTTTGTGTATGTGTTTCGCCGCACGGCTTCTGATATCAAATCGAAAAATTTTGTTTGAATTTCTACACACACTCTTACAGATTTTGACAGTTTATGCCGCCAAAGCAAAAACAAAATACATGTAAATTTTTGTTTTTGTACTCCTGCTATCACCTTATATTAATTCGCCTTGGGTGCTGCTTTCTTAAAAGTATATGTTGCTCGAAATATTCAATTTATGACCAACGCTGTCAAGCTAATCCCGTCTTCAAATTGAAGAATTTCTTCATCCACTTTGTCGCCTTGCACGATAGCACCTCCGATTAGGACCCAACGAGTACGACTTGGAAGCACAACCGACGCTAACAATTATTCCGCAGTAAATCCTGCGGAATTGAACTAAATTTGGACTTAAAAGCATTATGCTCATTCGATACAAGGTTTTCCCAGCAATTAATCCCTGCATCGCATATTTTTTGCTGGCTAAAAGAGCATATTTTTTGCTTGGTGAAATAGCATATTTTGTACTGGCCAAAATAACATATTTTTGCTGGCCGAAATAGGTAAAAATCTTTCTCCCTATACAGTGTACGAAGTTCTGAGCACAAATCCGTCGATTCCTTGGAATCAGTAATTTTTTTATTTGCTGGAAAATAACGCCAATAGCAAATACGCCAAGCAACCTCCT